CCTTCCCCCGACAGGTATTGGCCAGCGCCTGGAGCACAATAGTAGGTTCTTCCATGCCAAATGACGTTTTTTAGTCGTTCACCTTCGTGACTCAATTCGCCGTGGCTTACTCTCGTCCAAGCTCCAATGCCAATGGGTGGAGATCCGTGTTCGTACGCAGTGGCGATCCTTATGTGCTCTCCTTCTTTCAAAACTTCATACTCAGCCTTCATCAATTCTTGCAGCTTCATGTTTATCTAAAAGATAATCCAATTAGGAGAGCGAATGAATGTGAAGCAGAAGAATAGAATACGAATGAAGAAAAACTTACCTGAACCAAAGAAAAAGAACTGCACAATAATGGTCTGAAGAATGGTTACTGCGAAGAATGGTTACTGCGAAGAATGGTAAGAATCAGGAATGAATCTAAATACGTATGGAATGAATGGCAAATGTGCAGAAGAGAATACCCCAATGGAACTCCGGGAGAAGAACTCCGGTATGAAGCGAACTCTGGATTGCTCGTTGTTTAATTTTAAACCGCCTTTATTTGAAAGGGAGAAGACTCAAAATTGATTTAAAACAATCACACCAAACTTTTAACTTTTAAGGGGATCAAATTAGTTCAAACTTTAGATTTTTGGATTTTATTTGAACACTACCTTACGTCGGACTTAAACTGTGCTTTCCTCCCCGTCAATTATCACGTTACTCCTGAACAAAAATATTCCCTTGAAAATATCCCTAGATGACTCGGAACGAAAATGAACGGCAAGCCGTCGTTGCAGATGAACAGAAAAATGATCGGGCAGGGAAATGTGAGACGGGCAGGTGAAGAAGTGCGATGACACCGGTTGGAGGAGGGAAGGATTTGGACGACATGAAGAGGAACTTGATAGCACACAATGGACTGTTAACGTTGGATTCAACGAAGATATAACGGGTGACCAAATATAATCCAAATAAGTTGATTTTGTGTTATTTTGGACTACTTAAAACCTTAGTTTCTAATTCGAACTTCGTAAATAACTTTAGTGTCATGTTTTAGCCTTCTCCCTATTTGAAATTAGAAACTGGCTTGTTCCGAACGTCATAATGTTTGTTTCAATAATTATATGTCATGATCTTTGAATAGTTCTTTATTGTTTTTAACACTTTTTGTTGCCAGTTTTTTAAATTTTAATCTGGAAAATAAAAAAATTATAAATAATTTAAAATCTTTAAAAATTAAATCTAAAAAATAACCTAAAAATATAAAAAATGTAGGCCTATGTTGCCTCCTCAGCAACCTCCCAGTGATCCCAAACCGGTCCTTGACACGGTTTGAAGGCTTAAGCGGGGGCATGCTCGGGCTGCAGAAATGGGGACCCGGCCCGGCCGGGCCCGGTTCGGGCCAAAACTGTTTTTTTTTTCAATTTTTTGGGTTTCCCCGGGTTGGGATTGATGTTTTGGGGGGGGGGGGTATGGGGGTGGGGGTGAGGGGGGGGGCAGAGGTAGTTAGGAAAGAAAAAAAAATCACAACCGGGCCCGAGGCCCGAACCCGGTGGCGACCCGGCCTGGACCGGACCGGTGGCAACCCGGGCCGGTCCCAGGCCTTCCTCCAACCACAAAACGCCCAACCGGGCCTAGGCCTGGACCGAGCCCGAGCCGGACTGACTCCATGCCTACCCAATACCACCAGCTCTGATCACAAAAACAATGCAACATGTGTCAGAAATGTCATCTTGATGACAGTTTTCGAGAAATTTTTGACATTTTTAAAAAATAAAAATGTCATTTCCATTGCATTTTTCAGAGAAAAATGACAGTTTTATACAATAATGGTGTGACATTTTTTAAAGGTGTTTTATCTGTTTTTTATTTATTTATTTTTTTTTTTAATTTTTGTATCTGATATTTTTTACTCCCAATGTCCTATTTAAAGGTTCTCACGCAGTTTACGATGTTTGAATGACCATAAAGTTATTGACCTCTGTCATTAATAAGACTACTTTTAGTAAATAAAATTTACATATTTAGAAACTGCATTAAATGTTTTACAATGTCGCAAAAATAAGAATTAAATTTGATAAAAGTCAAATATATAAAGTAAAACATGAAGAACAATTCATGTTGCCCGGAGAATAATGGACGAGAACCTTTTAATGGGACAGGGGAGTATTATTTTAGTATTTTTTTAAACGGGGGGAGAACCTTTTTTAATGCCTTCGAGAAAGCTGCCAAGGAGGCTGCGATCTCCTCCAATTTCTTTTCCTGTGCAGCCAGTAGCTCTCCTACCGCAGTCAATTGCTGACCATGTGTGTCCAGTTTCTCTCCCTGCATGTCAAACTTTTTGTTCATAAGGGATTGTTCGTCCTCAACTTTTGACAAACGATCATTGTTGGATCTTGTCATTCCGACGAGAACGAGATACGGTCGGTCAGACCAATTGATTTGAACGGAAATAAAAATCAACAATAAAATCCATTGCCCAAGCTAAATAGCTAAAAACCCAATATTATTAAGGAAAAATTTACAAGAATAATCCCACGTTTCACTGGTCTTCTCATAATAATCCCACCTTTAAATAATCCAAAAATAATCCCACCTTTGCACCTCATCTTCTTTCATTGGACTCTAACCAAGTTTTTTACTTTTTTAAAAAATCTTATATAAATAATCTCACATTTATAAGGATATAATTAAAAAGTGAAAGGTGAGATTGTTTGTATAATTTTCAAAGACAGAGTAAAAAACATGGTCAGGGTCCAATGAAAGAAGATGAGGTGCAAAGGTGGGATTATTTTGGAATTATTTAAAGGTGGGATTGTTATGAGAAGACCAGTGAAAGGTGAGATTATTCTTGTCAAGTTTTCCTATTATTAATGCCCGCTTTTAACAAGCATGGGCAAGGGTTTATATAAATCCCTTACATCCAAAACTGAACATGAAACTAAGTCCTAGTAAGAAACATAAAAGGAGTCATAATTAAATCATACCACGAAACTAAGCAGAATAGAAAACCTCTAATTAAAAGAAATACTCGAACACTAAATAGAATAGAAAACCTCTAATTCTAATAAGAATAGAAATTCTAATTAAACCTAATTAATTAAAATAGCAGTAGCTAGCCTATGAAGGTGGGCTCAAACCCGTCCCCGCGCCTATGGTAGACCAATAAGGACTTGGGGCTTAGACCCATATTCAGATCAATACATTTGCATGTTTTTTATGCTTTTTGCCTAAATTTAATGATTGAATTGTAAGCATTATTCGTTTTAATTACTATTTTTCATATCCAGTCAAACCGAACAACTAACTCAACTTATATGCGACACAGATATAATACTCCCTCCGTCTCATAAAATTCTTCATGGATTGACTTGGATCGAAGTTTAAGAAAGTCAGAATGAGATGTAAATGTATAGTTGTGGTTGAGTAAGAAAAAGATAAATGAATGTTAGTCACACTAAACTTTGCAAATAGGGAAGTTAGAAGACTTTTATGGGACGAAGGGAGTAATATGTAGTCTTGAATGGACCATCACAATGAAGATCTTGCAAGGATGTGATCTAGAAAGTGAAGGGCACGCAACCAGAACCGGCTTTGGACCCTCGGAAGATAGGCAACTGCCTAAGGCACCACCACTTTGAGAGGGGCACCATTAAAAAAAAATAGTACTACTTCGCATGTACTATTACTTATAGTGTACATGCATATGTATTAGTTAAATTGAAAATGTAGTACTCCGTATTAAAACATTTGGAAAAACAAAACGTACATAGGTATAAAAAGGGTCCACTAACCCATGTCATCACCCAACGACCAAAACCTACTTAGTATGTGAGTGCTTAACAAATTGACATTTTCACAATTCACATTTAGTTTTGTAATTCTTTAATTAAAAAGCAAATTAAATAATGCTCCGTACTAATGAATGGACTACAAAGCCCATCAGGGAAAGTGAAAAGTCATTCAAATAATAATTTAACATACTAACCAACAAAACCAATGCCTTTTGAGTTTCTATACAAATCAAAACCACTGCCTGCCTTTACCAATTTCTAAGACCCCAATTCGGTAATTCCGTAATAACTCCAATAAGCCTGGAAATTTTCACCCTCTTTCTTCAAGTGAAATCCAATTAGGCTTCATATGGCATTAAGACCACAACAATTGTTAAGGTGAGTTGTTTAATTTTTATAATTTTATTGTTGCAATTGATTTTCACAAGTGGAATTGTTAATTGTGATTTTTCTTTGTAAACTAGTATTCCACCCGTGCGTTGCACGGGATGTAATTTATGCATATTAGAAAATTAAGTATATAAACACTTTTATGAATCAATATATAGACTTAAAATATAGTGTTACATGAATGAGTAAAACTATAAATAATTAATAATATAATACGTACATTAAATATTTAAAAAGTTCACAGACTAGAAGTTATTAAAGACCTCCTCATCGACTATTATTTTCAAGTTGTTTAGATTCCTTAGTCACGTAATATCACAAATGTTAATTTAACCAGACTTGTTACTGTAGAAACTGTAAGGTGCATTTATACATTTATGAAAGTAGCTAGGGTTGCACAATTAAACTGGCATAGTTGTGCGATGTATATTTATTCAGATTTGAAAGTGAATCATTCACATCCAACACCAACCGCAGGCCCAAAGATAGTAGGCCAAGGGTTTCGAGAGTGATGTTCCGCAATGATTCAAACACTTTGGAGGTTGGATTGAAAAATGATTATGAGACCATGTATTATGTATATGTGTCTCTTACTTTCATAAAATTTTGTCTAATCAATTCAAAAGTCTGGCAAACTTCTACTCTACCAAATCTACCAATTTTATTTAGTTAACATAACATTCCAAAAGGGAACTCAACAATTAAAAATTATCACAAAACTGATAACTACAAAAAATTAAGCAACTTCGCATTTAAAAAGAATGAAATAATGACAAAAATAATACTAACAGCTTTTATTCAAATAAAAATATGGTTGGTTTTAATTTGAACAAAAAAATCCACATTCTCTCTTCATGCATCTGGGAGCTATCCGTGTTCCTCTTTGTGGTCCAACACTCCCACTGTGACCACATACATATATGCAATCACCGCAGCCGCCGCACTGCAACCGCCACCACTGCGCACTGCACTGATGGTCTGAAGTTTGCAATTCCACTTCTATTTATAATGCAAAATGAAGTAAATATTTTGATGAAGAGAAGAATTACAGGTAAAAAGTTAAAGATAAATTTACCATCTTCTGTGATTATTTTCTTTGAAAAGTTAGCCCAAAACAATAAATTAGTCTTACTTGTAAAAAGGTAAAAAGCTACAAATATGATCTACTTACCATAATACCATTACAGTGTTTAAACATGTTTATTTAGCGTAGTGATACATTTGTTGCAAGTTGTGCCTATCAATTACAGGCAGCTATATAACACGATATTGTTATGTGCTATTCTATCTTTCAATAACTTGTCAGTTCATTTCTGCATGAACGGAAAATATGATCAATTAACTTTTCAATCATCTTCTAAAAAGTTATCAATTTTTATGATTTGGCCAACAATCATTTGTAAGTTATCTCGTATGTGAGAAAGGATCTGAATGCAAAGAAAGAAGATGGCAATGATCATCCATACAAAGAAAGAAGAGCATCATATATCTAATTGTTTATAAACCGGAAAAAATCAGTATACATAATTCAAACTAAAGTTAGTAAATCGATTAATTGTAAGAAAAGAATTCAGAAATATATGATGAAAGATATTCCATCTTTTATACGACCGTTTTCTGACTCACACCTAAGTCATTACTGTCAAGACTCAAGAATCAATAACAGGGTGGGGAGGAGGGAAGCTTAAGAATGTCCTCATATAGTCATATGGAGTACTTCATATAAATTGTAAAAGGGGGTAACCTATGCATTTATGTCTAGAATTAAAGTAGTTGTATGAAGTCTAGTAGTGCATAATCACCAATATGCTTAATGATAATTTCAACATGCGTACCTTTAGCTAGAAGTGAATCCATTGGCCTTCTTCTTACAACATTTAGAGTGCCCTCAACATTAAGAACTAAAGATCGAAGCATTGACATCAAGGAATAAGCACAATCTGAATAGCACCCATAGTTGCCCAAATGGTTTACTGTAAAAGTAAAAAAGTGCAACATCTTTTCTCAGCATAGTCATTAACAGAAGTAGCAGAAGTAGATACCTGCAACCTATCCCCACACTTTTTTTATTTGAGTTATCCAATCTTTTCTCAATAGTCATTACTTTCTTTTTTCTCATAATTGAAGTGCTAAATCTGACTTATTCTAAGTACTCAGTAATAAAGTATTTTAAAACAAATGACTACTTGGAATTAGAAATTTCATCTTTGCCTGTTTTTCTTAAAAAGCAGGTTAAATCGATCTCGCTTGTAAGGATGATCTCATCTGGGTTGGAATCTGGTGTTGGAACAACTGTAGACACTTCGGCATCCTTATCAAATCCGCCTTTTTTTCTAGCCATTAAGATAGACCAGTAGGGTATATTTGGACCCAGTAATATGTTTGGGGAAGGAAAACAACATCCAAGCCTTAATCCCAAACTGGGAAGGAAAACAAAAGTTAAGAAATTTAACTCATTAAGGTTGGCTTTGCTTTGAAACATGATAACAACGCATTCCATATTCCGGCACCAAAAGTGAAAGAAATGGAAGCTGGGACAAAAAATGGGAATGTCCTAGTAGATGTAGGGACACAAGCGAAAAATTTTCAGTAGTAGAATCCAAAAGATAGATGGTTTAGATTGAAATGTAAATAACTAAAGTACTAAACACCAAATGATTGTGAGGCTCTCCTTTAATCTAAGGGATATTATTAGTAAAAAATGGGTCATGTGCAAAAATATGAGTATATCACATTGTTGCCTTCATATAAGTTAGTAGAGCAGTCGATTATGCAAGATTCAGCTTCTCAAATGTAAAATGCAGTTCAGAAACATTATTAAAAGACACACTATCACAGATTTACTTTTTCTTGGGATTATTGTATAGATAACATAAGGTTTATTGTACCAATCTACTTAAAATTTCATTGTTTCTATTAAGAATGACATTAAGCTCTCATTTGCATACTTTGAACATAAACTGGAATAGGAATAAAGACTGGGATAATTATAGATACTACACTTCTTCGCCATATCACCTTAGAAAATTATCAAAGATATATTTAATATCAGTAGGTCTTCAGCAATACTCTGATTTTTTTCTAATTAATTTTTCAATATAAGAATTAAAGTGCTCAAAATGTAATGCAAAAGAGTCACCAGACACAATAGTTAGAGTGGAGTAAGTCATTTTCACTAATACTTCAGAGCATGGGTTTTTTAAATGATATACTTACCTTTGTATCCACTGGCATAATCGAGATCCAAAAATCTTTGTATCAGACCAGAACTTAACTATGTATCCACTGCATGATTAGATTAAAGTTTACTTATGAAAAATTGAAGTACAAATGTACTTGAGTTAACTGATCAATATAATTGATATGAAGAAAGACTACTTGAGTGTGTCTTCTTCATCAATCCTATTGTCATGCTTGAAGAAGATGAATTTACAGATCGAAATATTAAATTAGAGCATCGATTCCATATCATTGAACTGTGATGCAACAACCACATCCCACTTTAATTTGAAATTTCACAGAAAGGAGCTTTATTTTTACTACACAAGAGAGACAGTAGACAGACCTTTCCAATATGGTACTCCTGGCGTGAGGCTGGATAGATTTCTGGCAGGAGATCAAATCGACGAAAAGGTTTGGACTGCTTGACCTGTGAGCATTCAGTTTCTGGATTTCCTGGATCCAAGCCGAGATGCAAGGGCAGTGGAGTAAGGTGACATCAAGGTCGCTTCCTGGATCTAAGCGAGAAGCAATTAAATTAAAGGAAAAGTTTAAATTACATGAAGCGAGAAATCTGCAGGAAACGGATGAATTGGTTTATTGCTTCCGGTGACAGTGAGCAACCTTTCGGAGAGAAATTAAACGGACTATTGAAGAGCGTAAATGACGTAGGAGAGAGAGGCGGGAAGTTCTAGGGAGAATGAGATTTTGCTTTTAGGTATATAGGATAGGATAGGATTTGTGTTATGAATATGTACTTAAAGTTATTGTTGTTGGAGTTATTCTGAAATTTGATCTTTATAAGTTATATTTACTAATGAATAATTATAATATAAATAATTAGTGCTAGGTTATTGTTTTGCAGTTTTGCTATGACGGGAAACGGAAGAAAGATTATGTGGTTGCTAAGAGAAATTTAAGGGGAAAAATGAAGTCGTACAGACTTTTGCGAGTTTATAGATAGGAATGTAAAAAAAAACTTCTCCTTCGGTATAGAATAGGAATTTAAAGACAAATGATAAACATGAGCATAAAAATATTGATGTCGAAAATGAAAATAAGAATCACAGTTCAAACGGAGTTAATAAAGATTCAAATGTAGATAATGAGAATGTGAATGTCAATGGTGAGAAGGATATTGTACATTTGTAGTTTTATCTATTCCATGCTTCATATAAGAATATACATTTTCAAATACTTTATATCATTTGACAGTTAATTATTAGTTTTTGCAATCTGTTATGACTACATTCAGTAGTAATCACGTTCTTTCAATTTTTAATTACATCCTATTTTATTTTATTATTGACTTAAAGTATTACCAAAATTCATTCTTTGTCCGGAGGCACCAAATTTCCAAAGGCAAGCCTGCATGCAGCCTGGTGTCATCTCGAAAGATGGATGAACCTGCAATTGATAAATGGAATAGTATTTGGTAAATGAAGTAGAGATGTCGTGGATCCAATATGAACTACCTTGTAGCACGTTAATCTTATTTTCCGCATTTATTAAGACGTTTCAGATGAGATCTAATGTGTGTTCGCGTGAGCGTACTTCCTGTGCTTTTATCTTTTAACAACCTGTACAATTGTCTCTCCCTTCATAGATTAGTGCATTCACACATGTCAACGATTCAACCGGTCAACCGACAATGGTATAACTTGTGTTTGTAATTTTCAGACTTACAAAAAAAAAACTTTCCACACAAAACGTATGGGTAGGCTTCCCAGGAATCACTTTTACCAAATCCCTCCTCCCCGTATGTGTGGCAGCTTCAGCACCAGGAACTTGATGAAGACCTGAAGGAATGTTAGGCAGACTAAATAAAGCACGGGGAATATTAATAAGAAAATCCTATATATAGATTGGAAGTTCGTTGGAGGGGAGGGCACTCTCGAATATGTCCTAATCTTCTCTTTCATTTCTGTTCTGTCATTAATGTACTAAGAAGATCTGTGAGATTTGTCAGATTCCTGCCTTCTTACATATAATAAAGATCATTCCAAATTAAGGATACCTATCAGAACTATAACAATTTCTTTCCTTGTTGTCTTTGAGGTAGCCAGGTAGGGTAGAGCAGAAAGCAGAGCCTTCCTATGGCCATAATATAAACCTTAAAGGCCAATAGCACCATAGCTCACACAGAAATTAATCTACGACAGATGTTTAATGTGCATGCAATTCAAACTAAAATCAATGTGCACCTAAAATCAATGTATGTTGAGGTCTAGTATCCTCATCTGTAGCCAGCATTCTTTGCAAGTCAGGAACTAGCTCGTTTGGTATGGAGGAGAAAGCCTCGCTGGATAAGTAATTCAAACTTTTCGTGTACTGCAGAGAAGTTAAGCAAGAACCACTATTATCAAAAGAAATGACGGCATGCAGATATGATAGATGAATACAAAGCTTGTGATAGAGATCTCCAGAATTCACAACAATTTCAGTAAAGATTATCAAGAAACTGTAGAAAAAACTTTATTGATGAAGATATCGATTACAGAAAGAGAACAGAAAGGCCGAAGCCACCCAAAAGAAAGAGACGGCTAATCTCAATCTTCCCAAAGTCCCAAGACAAGTCTAGAACAGCCTACCACTCCCTCCTCTTCCCCGTCTATTTATACTAAAATATTCATGTATCCTTATTACTCATATTATTATTATTATTATTATTATTATTATTCTAATAATAGTCTACTACTCTAATAGGCTGGTTCCTATCAGCTTGTTAAAGTGATACTCCAAACAAAAGAAGGCAATTTGAAATGAGAAATGACTATTTATACAATTATATTAGCAGTTGACTTGAGAAGAATGTATGCAACAGTGGAAAACCTCATCCTCCCCTGCACATTCCCCTTCTCCACAACAATGAGATCTATACCACTGCCCCACACGGCCACACCACATCTCACTCATCACTGTGCGCTTTCTCCCAGCCATTTCAGTGGGAAAAACTGTTCTAGGGAGCACACCGTATATAACAGTGTCACTGTTTTTCTTTGCACAATTATTGTTTTGACTAACATTAGACACCAAATCTCCTACCACCAACTGCAACTATAGTTGCTATTATGTGATGATGAAGGAGGGGCCTTATGAGGATTTCAATGGAAGAGGCTTAACACGAAATATATACAAACACTTGCAAATACACATGTCTACCTACTATCTAGTCCATCTACTATAGCTCAACTGCACAAATACAATAAAGCATGTGCATGTCAGCATGGCATTTTCTATTCAATTTGAGACAAGAGTCTGTGTGACAGAGGAAGGAGGTTGTAAATGCATAATATCGTTGATTAATCGTTGACATTGTTGTGATAGTGATACGACACAGAGAATTGGTGTGGAAAATATTATTGAAATCGTAGAAAATAAGAAGAATACAGCCGAGACCAATTCGAGAGGGCCTCGATCTCTCCCAGATTTCAGTTTTCCCAAATCCCAGCCTCCTTTTCCTGACTCATCTGTTTGCCTTTTATTTCCTTTCTCCAGCCTGTCCAGCTTCCACATTTATTTAGACCACCCTTTTATTTCCTTTCTCCAGCTCAACCTGTTCAGCTTCCACATTTATTTAGGCCATTCCCCCAAGCTTGACTCCCCCTATTATTAAAAAACCCTCCTAAAAGGGCCGGCCCTTAATTAACTTATTTGGCCTAGAACCCTATTATTAAACAACATTAAAATACTAAATGGATTCTTATTATTTGTAGTGCCCAGGTCCCTATCATCACTCCCCCCTTTGACATCCACCTTGTCCTCAAGGTGGGGAGTAAGATACAGTCATGCCATTCAGCTTCATCCTCGCGCCTCTTCCTTCCCAGTACTTCAGCTTGTATAGTTTTCTTCTTTTTGGCAACCTCTCGTTATCTATGTCAACACAGTGATCCTTTTTGCCAAGGTTTTTATCTCTTTCAATGCCCCATGTCTGATCTCTTACAGAACCCATAACTGAGAATACAAAGTCAGCTTCATCATCACCAAGTGTTCTTCCTGTGTGATGCATCACGGCTGCCTTGGAACTTTCATTGTAACAAAGTTGCATAGCAGACTTCCAGGCGGCTAGAGTGTGTACACGGCCTTTGGGCTGACTAATGCACCTGCCACATTCCAAGCACTCATGAATGAGGTTCTAAGGCCTTTTCTGAGGAAATTCACACTGGTTTTCTTTGATGACATCCTAGTTTAAAGCAAAACTAGGAAAGAACATGAAGAACATTTGAGGAAGGTTCTGGATGTACTGAAGAAGAATCAATTGGTGGTGAATCAGAAGAAGTGCTCATTTGGCCAACAACAGTTGACTTATTTAGGTCATATTATTTCTGAAAAAGGGGTGGCTGCAGATCCCAGCAAAATTGAAGCTATGAGTAAATGGCCAGTCCCTAAGGATCTCAAGGAGCTAAGGGGGTTCCTAGGTCTGACAGGATACTACAGGAGATTTGTCAAAGGTTATAGTCATATTGTTGCACCTCTAACTCAATTACTAAAGAAAGATGGGTTCAAGTGGGATGAGAAGGCAGGAAGGGCTTTTGAAGAGTTGAAGAATGCCATGATTTCTGTACCAATTTTAAGGATTCCTGACTTTAATAAAATGTTTGTAGTGGAAACAGATGCCTCTGGGAGAGGATTGGGAACTGTTCTTATGCAGGATGGAGGTCCCCTTGCTTATATGAGCAAGGAATTAGCCCCTAAACATCTGGTTAAATCAGTATATGAAAAAGAACTAATGGCCATTGTGTTTGCAGTTCAGAAATGCAGGCCTTACTTACTAGGGAGGAGATTTGAGATCCATACTGACCAGAAAAGCCTGAAATACTTGACGGAGCAAAGGGTGATGGGAGAGGATCAGCAAAAGTGGATTTCCAAACTCATGGGATACAATTTTACAATCATATACAAGCAGGGAATTGAAAACAAAGCAGTTGATGCCCTTTCCAGGAATTCTACATATTCAGCCTTATCAAGTGTGATTTGCCAAGAATGGGATGGATTGGAAGATGAATTGCAGAATGATGCCAAATGTAGGGAATTAATTCAGAATTTATTCAGCAGCTTTCTTACTTACGTGCTATCCAGATTACAAGTTGAGGGGAGGTATTCTTTACTACAAAGGGAAGATGGTGCTACCAAATGGGTCCAGCAAGGTGAAGAGTATACTCAATGAATACCATGACTCTGCAGTAGGGGGTCATTCAGGGTATTTCAGGACCCTGAAAAGGATTACTGATTTATTCTATTGGACAGGAATGAGGAAGGATATCAAAGATTACATTTTGGGGTGTGAGGTATGCCAAAGGAATAAATACCAGGCTCTTAAACCTGCAGGGTTGTTGCAGCCTCTACCGATTCTAGAACACAATTGGGCTGACATTAGTATGTATTTCATAGGTGGTTTACCTAAATCACAAGGAAAGGATGCTATTCTAGTAGTGGTGGATAGACTATGAAAATTTGCTCACTTCATACCGTTAGCTCATCCCTTCAATGCCAAAGGGCTGACGTTACCTGAAGGAAGTAGAATACACCCTGTATTCCACATATCCTTGCTTAAAAAAGTGCTGAAACCTACTGTGACATATCAGAACCTCCCAAATTGCCTCACAAAAGAATGTGAATTACAAGTGAGACCTGTAGCTGTGAAGGGTAGCAGACTGAATCAGGAAGGGAAGCAGGAAATCCTTATACATTGGAAGGATCTTCCTGATTTTGAGGACTCATGGGAGGAATTGCAAGTGATCCAAGATCAATTTCCTGAATTTCAACTTGGGGACAAGTTGGTTGTTCAAGAAGGGGGTATTGATAGGGACATGAGTGCTAGTTTTGATAAAGGGAGTAGATATGGGCGGGTGTACAAAAGAAGGCCTAAATAGACTAGCTCGGTTATTAGTTAATTCTGTTAAGCAACTAATAACCGCCTTCCTTTTAGGGAAGGGTTTAAATAAGAATTCCGGCAGTAGGTTGGCAGGCTTTCGGACATTAGATTTGGGACTGGGAAAGTGGGAGTTCTATCTCCTCTTTTGGGGCTTGTATGCTGTTTACCTTGTGGATGGTTTACCTTGTTGAATAAGATACTCTATTTCTCTGTAATTGTGTGTGAATTACTGGAATTGTGCTTGTGATTGCTCTGTGTTGCGAGGTTCTTATCACAGTTGTGGAGGAAAGATGAGTCATGTGGCCTACGTAACGCCCTTTGTCATCCTGAAATAGCGGGGCAGTTCTGGCAAGGTTAGCATTGAGAATGACAAGTGGCGAAGTTGATCTTTTGGTAGGAAGGAGGAGGCTTTTTCCGGTTTATATGTCGCGGACCACTATTGGTTTCATTGGGAGGGGTAGTGAGGATGTTGAAAGGAGTGTGGGAAGTATAGCAGGTGAAGGGTTTGACATTCGAAATGGCAAAGATATCAGTTTTAATAGTATTTATTGCCTCAGAGAGATTGGCCGTTTTATTTTCATAAAGGAACTTGTTCCGTATCTTCCAAATGTTCCAAACTATCATATTGGGAGGACAAAGTTTGAATCAACAATTTTCCTTTAAAGTCGTTGTACCAACCCATCAAATAGTTTTGGATAGAGGTAATAGCATGCAGTTTAACTTTGAAATAGTGTCATTGGACCGGCAAAAAGGGCATTTGAAAGGGCCAAAAATTCCAACAACAACAACAACAACATCCAAGCCTTAGTCCCAAACGATATTGGGGTCGGCTAACATGAATCGATACATGATATCAACAAAAGGAAAAGAAAGAAAATAAACATAAAAAAGATAAGCTATTCTAAAAAAAGATAATATAAAAGAGATGAATATATATATATATATAAAAGATAAAATAAAAAGGATAAAGTAATATTTATATATAAGGATAAAAATATAAAAGAAAAAGAAAAAAAAGAAGAAAAAAAGAGGGGAAAAGATGATACAAGATCACTCCTCCACACGAATACCCGCCCTCCATTTTGCTCTCTCCAAAGCCATACCCTCATCCAATCCAAGGGCCAAAAATTCCAATTTGATTAAATTTGTCATCAAAAGGAAGGATACGGTTTTCAAGCTTCCAAAGGAAAAAGGAATTTTTTTGGGGGTCCGCTGATTCCAAAGGAATTTGTATTCTGCTTTCATACTCACCTTAGGCCTAGTAACATCATAGGCACTAGAAAAACTGAATTTGCCATTTGAATTGGGTTTCCAAAGGTAGCCATCCTCCCTGTCAGTGTAGTGGACCTTAATTTCCATGATATTTTCCATTAAAAGATTGGGGAGGCAATTACGCAAAGGAGAGATCAAACTGTAATTAGGCATAGCCTCTTTAATAGACAGATTATAGAGATGAATAGGGATGTCATCATGAAGGAGGTACAAAGGGCCAATGTTGCACCAGTTAGAGAACCAAAAAGAGCTACTACCATCATGAACCTGGATACAACTGTTAGCACTGATCAATAGAACAAAGAGCCTTATGCATCACAAAACGTTTTTTTTTATCTTTTAGGGCGTTGTACCAATTAGCCCAAAGACCAATTTTGGTTTTCTTCTTGCACAAAAGCTTAATAAAAAGGCATTTTGGATATGAAATAAACTACGAAAGCCCAAGCCGTTTTCCGAAACAGGGAAACAACAATGTTTCCAACTGCGCCAAATGTGTTTGTGATTATCCGGACTGTTATCCCACAGAAAGTTTGAGAGTTTTCTCTCAATTTTTTGAATAATAGTGCGCGGGAGGGGGGTGACAGCCATATGATATAAGGGGAGGGAACTGAGGACATGATTGATAAGAATCATCCTACCACCAACAGAGAGCATTTTATGTCTCCACCCAACCAGCTTATTGTCAAATTTGGTGAGAATATGATCAGGGAGAAGACAAAGTTCTCCCAGTACAAATATTAGCACCAAGATAAGTGAAAGGAAAAGAGCCTTTTTTTATGTTGAAGATATCTTCAACATTTTTAAAAGAGTGGTTTTTGGCATGTTTTGAAATTAGGTAAAAACTCTTATCTTCACTAATAAGCTAACCAGAATAGAGTTCATAATCGGAAATGATATTTTTCAGAAAATTAAGGGTCCTCTTTTCAGCATTGGAGAAGACAATTAAATCATCAGCAAAGGACAAATGATTAATATCAGGCATATCTTTCATAGTATAATACTGCTTAACATTATCAGATAAGGCGGGAGTATTAATCTGTTTAGTCAGGACCTCAGACACGATAATAAACAGGAGTGGGGGAGAGAGGGTCCCCCTGCTTGACACCTCTCTACTAGGCTTAAAAAACCCTTGAGGGGCAACATTAATTAAAACAGAAAACCAAGTGGCAGTGAGGTTATTCTTAATAAGATGAACAAACTCGGGGTGAAAACCAAATTTAATCAAACATTGAGTAATAAAGGGCCAAGAGAGCCGGTTAAAGGCTTTCATCTATCAAACTTGAAAATAATATTATGCCCCCGAATTTTATTATGAATACGGTTAACCAGCTCCCGTAAAACCAAAATGTTATCGGAAATTTCCTTTCCTTTTTGAAAAGAAGTTTGGTTTACAGAAATTATTTTTGGAAGCAAGGGGGTCAAATGAAGAGTAATAATCTTAGTGAAAATTTAATTAAAAAAAGTTACTAAGACTAATAGGCCTGAATTTGGAAAGCTGGTAAGCATTCTTCTCTTTCGGGGTAAGAGCAATGAAAGTATGAGCTATGGCCTTAGGGATAGGAACACCACAAAAAAATTCAGGGACAACATTATAAAGATCAATACCAATAATGTCATAAGCAATTTGATAGAAAAAACCATCAAATCCATCACTCCCTGGGGCACTGTTTTCATCCAGCCCAAAACAGCCATCTCAAGCTCATCATGGGTTATAGGATTCATCAGAAGATCTTTATCCTAATAGTAATCACAGGACTGATAATACTGAGATAAGAGTTAGAATCAAGATGGTTAGTAGTATCATTGGCAGTAAGAAGATCAGTGAAAAAATTAATAGCAGCAGTGCAGCACTACTGATATCATCATTGGTTTCTATCCAGGACCTGTAGTCCAACTTAATTCTGTTGATGTTAAGTTTGCTGTGTTTGGATTTTAAGGATAGATGGAAATATTTTGAATTTGCATCTCCATCCTTAAGCCATTTCACTTTAGCCTTTTGCCTATAAAACGAGTTTATATAGGAAGTGGCTTGAATGTATCTAGCCTCAGCCTGTTTCAGGAGTAACTGATCTTCCTCAGATAGGGAATCCAAGGTTTTTTCTTCAAGAATGGCAATTTCATTCTCAGCTTCGGACTGTTGATTAAAAATGTTTCCCAAAATGTCATGATTTCAGTTTCTTAACACAACTTTTAGCCGTTTGAGTCTATTTGAAAACAGTCACATGTCATAACCTTCACAGGGAGTTTCCCAGGAAGTTTTGACAGTATTAAGAAAGGAAGGGTGTTTAGTCCACATATGCTGAAATCTAAAACTTTTGGGACCAGTAAAAGGGGCAGAATTTTCTTGAAGAAGAAGGGGGTTGTGATCAGAAACACATTTATTCAGCTTCTTAAGAGTTAGATTCCAGTTAAGTTGCAAAAACTCTTTTGAAATCGTAACTCTGTCTAACTTTTTAAAAACCAAACCATTCATCCTATTCCCCATCCAAGTGAAAGGAGTACCCTGAAAGTTAAGCTCAGAAAGACTGTTTGAAAAAATGAATTCAGTGAACTCTTCCATATCATACTTATTGGGAATACTCTTACCATTGTAGTCACTAGCATTGCTAATGACATTGAAATCTCCACCCAAGAGCCAAGGTTTAGACCCTATGTTATGCTTGAAAGTATTCAGGTCATCCCACAAAGTACGTCTAGTAATCCTGTCATTACCACCATAAACAATAGAAATATATATAGGAAAGTACATTTGATTAGTAGTGACAGAGAGATTAATGCATTGAGATAAGTCAGAAATAATGTTGACAGTGTAAGAAGGATCCCATATGATCCAGATTTTATAAAGACGATGCGCAAAAGCATTAGAAAAACCAAACTGCTTCATTTTATTTTGCAAATTGTTGGGATTTATTTTGGGTTCAATAATAGCCAGGAAATTGATATGATAAGTTTTGCATAAAAGGTTAACACGATCAGTGGACTGGGAGTTCTCGATCCCCCCGAATATTCCAAACAAGCATGAGGAACTGTATTAGTATGAGGCTTTGAGGGGCCAGAAGAGTTGTGCTAAAACTGTTTGGTTTTTTTAGATTGTTCCCCTTCAGAAAGGGTTTCTCTGGGGTCCAATTCCGTTTCCAATTGATTATTCACCTCATCACCTTCCTGGTTCATATCATTAAGAACCAGGGAATTGCAAGTGTAGCTCTGTGAAGGGGCACTGATTGGTGATGAAGGTGTAGGCATGGGGTTACCAATAATAGCTGCAGCAATAGCCTGAACATTAGTTAAAAGGTCTTTAGGGTCATTAGAGTTCAGAGAGTGGTCTGCGGCTTTACCATCCACGTCCTGATGGTTAGTCACAGCTATATATTCAGAGGGGATAACATTATCATCCACATGAGTAGCACATACATAATTATTGTTGGTAAGAGAGGCATTATTATCAGGGACTTTGGCTGTTTCAGACATAGCCACTTGGGTAATCACAGCAATAGGTTCAGATGGATTATCCTCAAGGATCTGTAGAGCATCCTCAAATCGATCAGTTTGAGGTCCATCATCCTTACCCTCATTAACTCCAGATTGGGGCGGGCAGTTTAGGGGGGTTGGGGGTTATTGTTAGGAGCTACCTGTTTACCCATATCCAATGTTAGGATAGGGTTGAAATCAGGTTGAGTCTCCTCAGCATCATATTTCTAGAGAGTTCAATACATTCCTCATTCAACACTGGCAACTATAACTGACAAGAGCAGAGGCAGTACATGCTAAATAAACAACCAATAAAAGCACACTCAGTGAAGGAATAAGGGTCCATCATCAAAGGAAATTTAGTGTGTATACAGGATTTCTAAAGCGTAAGGGAGTATATACAGGATTTTTAAAGAGAAATTTTATAGCATTTCTTATTCCGGGCAAAGCAAGGGCAATTTTGCAAAAAAAAAAAAAGAAAAAACTAAGAGTGCATCATGTCAGATATGTGCTTCACTTCCTGTACAGTTTCTTTGGCTACTGTCAGGGCATCCCGGAAGCTTTCCTGAGCAGCTTTCACAGTGTCACGGAAGCTCGTCATGATAGTCCCAATGCTCTGACGCTGCTCGTTGGGCAAGGAACAGTATACCAAGAAAGCCGCACTTACACAGCCTAATAGCAGCCAAGGCCAGGATGCTGATGGATCAGAGCCTGGAGAAGAGGTTTCGTGGGCGGCTGCTTTGCGTGCGGCCGCGGCGGCTCGAGATCTTGGTGTCATGGGGAAGGAGATGCCTTCCCCCGACAGGTATTGGCCAGCGCCTGGAGCACAATAGTAGGTTCTTCCATGCCAAATGACGTTTTTTAGTCGTTCACCTTCGTGACTCAATTCGCCGTGGCTTACTCTCGTCCAAGCTCCAATGCCAATGGGTGGAGATCCGTGTTCGTACGCAGTGGCGATCCTTATGTGCTCTCCTTCTTTCAAAACTTCATACTCAGCCTTCATCAATTCTTGCAGCTTCATGTTTATCTAAAAGATAATCCAATTAGGAGAGCGAATGAATGTGAAGCAGAAGAATAGAATACGAATGAAGAAAAACTTACCTGAACCAAAGAAAAAGAACTGCACAATAATGGTCTGAAGAATGGTTACTGCGAAGAATGGTTACTGCGAAGAATGGTAAGAATCAGGAATGAATCTAAATACGTATGGAATGAATGGCAAATGTGCAGAAGAGAATACCCCAATGGAACTCCGGGAGAAGAACTCCGGTATGAAGCGAACTCTGGATTGCTCGTTGTTTAATTTTAAACCGCCTTTATTTGAAAGGGAGAAGACTCAAAATTGATTTAAAACAATCACACCAAACTTTTAACTTTTAAGGGGATCAAATTAGTTCAAACTTTAGATTTTTGGATTTTATTTGAACACTACCTTACGTCGGACTTAAACTGTGCTTTCCTCCCCGTCAATTATCACGTTACTCCTGAACAAAAATATTCCCTTGAAAATATCCCTAGATGACTCGGAACGAAAATGAACGGCAAGCCGTCGTTGCAGATGAACAGAAAAATGATCGGGCAGGGAAATGTGAGACGGGCAGGTGAAGAAGTGCGATGACACCGGTTGGAGGAGGGAAGGATTTGGACGACATGAAGAGGAACTTGATAGCACACAATGGACTGTTAACGTTGGATTCAACGAAGATATAACGGGTGACCAAATATAATCCAAATAAGTTGATTTTGTGTTATTTTGGACTACTTAAAACCTTAGTTTCTAATTCGAACTTCGTAAATAACTTTAGTGTCATGTTTTAGCCTTCTCCCTATTTGAAATTAGAAACTGGCTTGTTCCGAACGTCATAATGTTTGTTTCAATAATTATATGTCATGATCTTTGAATAGTTCTTTATTGTTTTTAACACTTTTTGTTGCCAGTTTTTTAAATTTTAATCTGGAAAATAAAAAAAATTATAAATAATTTAAAATCTTTAAAAATTAAATCTAAAAAATAACCTAAAAATATAAAAAATGTAGGCCTATGTTGCCTCCTCAGCAACCTCCCAGTGATCCGAAACCGGTCCTTGACACGGTTTGAAGGCTTAAGCGGGGGCATGCTCGGGCTGCAGAAATGGGGACCCGGCCCGGCCAAGCCCGGTTCGGGCCAAAACTGTTTTTTTTTTCAATTTTTTGGGTTTCCCCGGGTTGGGATTGATGTTTTGAGGGGGGTATGGGGGTGGGGGTGGGGGGGGGGGGGGGGGGCAGAGGTAGTTAGGAAAGAAAAAAAATCACAACCCGGCCCGAGGCCCGAACCCGGTGGCGACCCGGCCTGGACCGGACCGGTGGCAACCCGGGCCGGTCCCAGGCCTTCCTCCAACCACAAAACGCCCGACCGGGCCTAGGCCTGGACCGAGCCCGAGCCGGACTGACTCCATGCCTACCCAATACCACCAGCTCTGATCACAAAAACAATGCAACATGTGTCAGAAATGTCATCTTGATGACAGTTTTCGAGAAATTTTTGACATTTTTAAAAAATAAAAATGTCATTTCCATAGCATTTTTCAGAGAAAAATGACAGTTTTATACAATAATGGTGTGACATTTTTTAAAGGTGTTTTATCTGTTTTTTATTTATTTTATTTTTTTTTAATCTTTGTATCTGATATTTTTTACTCCCAATGTCCTATTTAAAGGTTCTCACGCAGTTTACGATGTTTGAATGACCATAAAGTTATTGACCTCTGTCATTAATAAGACTACTTTTAGTAAATAAAATTTACATATTTAGAAACTGCATTAAATGTTTTACAATGTCGCAAAAATAAGAATTAAATTTGATAAAAGTCAAATATATAAAGTAAAACATCAAGAACAATTCATGTTGCCCGGAGAATAATGGACGAGAACCTTTTAATGGGACAGGGGAGTATTATTTTAGTATTTTTTTTAAACGGGGGGAGAACCTTTTTTAATGCCTTCGAGAAAGCAGCCAAGGAGGCTGCGATCTCCTCCAATTTCTTTTCCTGTGCAGCCAGTAGCTCTCCTACCGCAGTCAATTGCTGACCATGTGTGTCCAGTTTCTCTCCCTGCATGTCAAACTTTTTGTTCATAAGGGATTGTTCGTCCTCAACTTTTGACAAACGATCATTGTTGGATCTTGTCATTCCGACGAGAACGAGATACGGTCGGTCAGACCAATTGATTTGAACGGAAATAAAAATCAACAATAAAATCCATTGCCCAAGCTAAATAGCTAAAAATCCAATATTATTAAGGAAAAATTGACAAGAATAATCCCACGTTTCACTGGTCTTCTCATAATAATCCCACCTTTAAATAATCCAAAAATAATCCCACCTTTGCACCTCATCTTCTTTCATTGGACTCTAACCAAGTTTTTTACTTTTTTAAAAAATCTTATATAAATAATCTCACATTTATAAGGATATAATTAAAAAGTGAAAGGTGAGATTGTTTGTATAATTTTCAAAGACAGAGTAAAAAACATGGTCAGGGTCCAATGAAAGAAGATGAGGTGCAAAGGTGGGATTATTTTGGAATTATTTAAAGGTGGGATTGTTATGAGAAGACCAGTGAAAGGTGAGATTATTCTTGTCAAGTTTTCCTATTATTAATGCCCGCTTTTAACAAGCATGGGCAAGGGTTTATATAAATCCCTTACATCCAAAACTGAACATGAAACTAAGTCCTAGTAAGAAACATAAAAGGAGTCATAATTAAATCATACCACGAAACTAAGCAGAATAGAAAACCTCTAATTAAAAGGAATACTCGAACACTAAATAGAATAGAAAACCTCTAATTCTAATAAGAATAGAAATTCTAATTAAACCTAATTAATTAAAATAACAGTAGCTAGCCTATGAAGGTGGGCTCAAACCCGTCCCCGCGCCTATGGTAGACCAATAAGGACTTGGGGCTTAGACCCATATTCATATCAATACATTTGCATGTGTTTTGATGCTTTTTGCCTAAATTTAATGATTGAATTGTAAGCATTATTCGTTTTAATTACTATTTTTCATATCCAGTCAAACCGAACAACTAACTCAACTTATATGCGACACAGATATAATACTCCCTCCGTCTCATAAAATTCTTCATGGATTGACTTGGATCGAAGTTTAAGAAAGTCAGAATGAGATGTAAATGTATAGTTGTGGTTGAGTAAGAAAAAGATAAATGAATGTTAGTCACACTAAACTTTGCAAATAGGGAAGTTAGAAGACTTTTATGGGACGAAGGGAGTAATATGTAGTCTTGAATGGACCATCACAATGAAGATCTTGCAAGGATGTGATCTAGAAAGTGAAGGGCACGCAACCAGAACCGGCTTTGGACCCTCGGAAGATAGGCAACTGCCTAAGGCACCACCACTTTGAGAGGGGCACCATTAAAAAAAAATAGTACTACTTCGCATGTACTATTACTTATAGTGTACATGCATATGTATTAGTTAAATTGAAAATGTAGTACTCCGTATTAAAACATTTGGAAAAAACAAAACGTACATAGGTATAAAAAGGGTCCACTAACCGATGTCATCACCCAACGACCAAAACCTACTTAGTATGTGAGTGCTTAACAAATTGACATTTTCACAATTCACATTTAGTTTTGTAATTCTTTAATTAAAAAGCAAATTAAATAATGCTCCGTACTAATGAATGGACTACAAAGCCCATCAGGGAAAGTGAAAAGTCATTCAAATAATAATTTAACATACTAACCAACAAAACCAATGCCTTTTGAGTTTCTATACAAATCAAAACCACTGCCTGCCTTTACCAATTTCTAAGACCCCAATTCGGTAATTCCGTAATAACTCCAATAAGCCGGGAAATTTTCACCCTCTTTCTTCAAGTGAAATCCGAATTAGGCTTCATATGACATTAAGACCACAACAATTGTTAAGGTGAGTTGTTTAATTTTTATAATTTTATTGTTGCAATTGATTTTCACAAGTGGAATTGTTAATTGTGATTTTTCTTTGTAAACTAGTATTCCACCCGTGCGTTGCACGGGATGTAATTTATGCATATTAGAAAATTAAGTATATAAACACTTTTATGAATCAATATATAGACTTAAAATATAGTGTTACATGAATGAGTAAAACTATAAATAATTAATAATATAATACGTATATTAAATATTTAAAAAGTTCACAGACTAGAAGTTATTAAAGACCTCCTCATCGACTATTATTTTCAAGTTATTTAGATTCCTTAGTCACGTAATATCACAAATGTTAATTTAACCAGACTTGTTACTGTAGAAACTGTAAGGTGCATTTATACATTTATGAAAGTAGCTAGGGTTGCACAATTAAACTGGCATAGTTGTGCGATGTATATTTATTCAGATTTGAATGTGAATCATTCACATCCAACACCAACCGCAGGCCCAAAGATAGTAGGCCAAGGGTTTCGAGAGTGATGTTCCGCAATGATTCAAACACTTTGGAGGTTGGATTGAAAAATGATTATGAGACCATGTATTATGTATATGTGTCTCTTACTTTCATAAAATTTTGTCTAATCAATTCAAAAGTCTGGCAAACTTCTACTCTACCAAATCTACCAATTTTATTTAGTTAACATAACATTCCAAAAGGGAACTCAACAATTAAAAATTATCACAAAACTGATAACTACAAAAAATTAAGCAACTTCGCATTTAAAAAGAATGAAATAATGACAAAAATAATACTAACAGCTTTTATTCAAATAAAAATATGGTTGGTTTTAATTTGAACAAAAAAATCCACATTCTCTCTTCATGCATCTGGGAGCTATCCGTGTTGCTCTTTGTGGTCCAACACTCCCACTGTGACCACATACATATATGCAATCACCGCAGCCGCCGCACTGCAACCGCCACCACTGCGCACTGCACTGATGGTCTGAAGTTTGCAATTCCACTTCTATTTATAATGCAAAATGAAGTAAATATTTTGATGAAGAGAAGAATTACAGGTAAAAAGTTAAAGATAAATTTACCATCTTCTGTGATTATTTTCTTTGAAAAGTTAGCCCAAAACAATAAATTAGTCTTACTTGTAAAAAGGTAAAAAGCTACAAATATGATCTACTTACCATAATACCATTACAGTGTTTAAACATGTTTATTTAGCGTAGTGATACATTTGTTGCAAGTTGTGCCTATCAATTACAGGCAGCTATATAACACGATATTGTTATGTGCTATTCTATCTTTCAATAACTTGTCAGTTCATTTCTGCATGAACGGAAAATATGATCAATTAACTTTTCAATCATCTTCTAAAAAGTTATCAATTTTTATGATTTGGCCAACAATCATTTGTAAGTTATCTCGTATGTGAGAAAGGATCTGAATGCAAAGAAAGAAGATGGCAATGATCATCCATACAAAGAAAGAAGAGCATCATATATCTAATTGTTTATAAACCGGAAAAAATCAGTATACATAATTCAAACTAAAGTTAGTAAATCGATTAATTGTAAGAAAAGAATTCAGAAATATATGATGAAAGATATTCCATCTTTTATACGACCGTTTTCTGACTCACACCTAAGTCATTACTGTCAAGAC